CTAGGGGAGATTTTGTGAATTACGCGTAAGTTATTTCATCTATTGTTTTTACCAAGATGTGATTTAATCTACATGACTATATGTATATGGACTTTAGGTATACATTCCTGGGAAATAATGAAATCATGCAATTCGCATCATTAGCAGGCTTAGGAGGCATTAATTTTATCCTAGCCTGGAGTGGAACGGTTGGTGCATACTTAATCAAAGAATGGGTGGTTTCAAATTCGGATTTTGACTATGAGCCATTAGATGAAGTGGAACCTTCAACATCCAACATAGAATCAGAAAGAAGAGAACAAATGGAAGCCTCAACAATTATCACAGAACCAGAAACGTCCATCACTGAAACAGAAAGAGATAGCGGGTCATTAAGAATAACCCCTGTTTTAGTTTACATTGCTATTTTATTCTTAGTAATTGGATACGGATCTACCAGGATTTCGTTAGCTTATGTGCCATTCTATCAGAAAGGCATTGAATCATTGGCCCCTGTTAATTTGACAAAAGTTGGATGTGTTGTTAAGGCCGTGGACTTTGATCGTGAAAATTCTTATTACGTGGACAGGACTAGAGATCTGGCCTCAAATGGTATCAAGTTCATCTTATGGTCTGAAGCAACAGCTATCGTTAGTAATAAAAATCAACTCGACAACCTTTCAGATAGTATTAAAAATGTTTCTCGCACATTTAACGTTTATGTTGGATTTACATACGTTGATTCGTCTTCAACAAGCGGAAAAATTTATAACAAATTGACTGTTATTTCGCCTACCGGTGACGTTTTGATAGATTATGCTAAAGCTAATTTAGTGCCTTTCGTTGAAGATGGGTTGAGTCCCGGAGAAAATGTCTTGCAAACATCTGTTACGCCAGATTTTGGGACCATTGGAGGTGCCATTTGTTTCGATTACAACTTTCCCAAATTAATTGGTCAAGCTTCTACACATAGCGTTGATTTGATGCTCGTTCCCAGTTGGGACTGGGGTAATTATTTCTCCTTAATATTTGCTGCAATTATCATGGTAATTATAATACGATGGCATTTTATATACAGTATATCTTTTTATATCCTTCCGACTACATAGGTCCCGTGGCAAATTATCATCCCCGAATTAATGTAATTAGATCGATAGAAAATGGATTTAC